TCTTACATCCGAAACAATCTGTTCTTTTTGTATTGAGTCTTTTTTATACAAACCAGATTCAATACCAGCTATCACCCGCGCCACATATTTAGTTGTATTAATGCCAGTAGTTGGTATAAAATTTAGTCCTAACTCTAATACATTGCTTTTCAAATTTATATTACACAGTCTTGTATTGTGGTCACAAAGATATAAATCATAGGAAATTTCCTCTGTTTATTACGCTGGATGGATAATGACTCTGCCAGACAGAATAGAAAATTTTCCAAAGATTTTCTATCGAACATTTATTTCTCCCCTTTATTGAAAATGAAAGCTATACAGAAGGATATTTTAATCTCTTCTAAGACAAAACTGAAATGAAACAGTGTTAATTAGATGTCCACAGCTTTTTCCAACTGCAGCATAAAATTTGGCTACTTCGTCATTAGCTGTTGGTGATATTAAACCACCCATGTTTTCTTTCAGTGTCTGAATTTCATACTTTGTCATCAATATCCTTCGACAGAGTACGACAAAAGTGATCTTTTATATTCTTTTACATTTTTTATGATATTTTGCGAATTATAAATATAAATCAACGATGTAGATCAAAACATATGCAAAGCGTCGATATCCTCTGTCCAAAGGGTTAGATTAACTAGCCTGTAAATAAAACTTTGTCTTGTGTACCATTGAATAGCAAACGACGGTTTGTAAAACTCAGCAAACTCATTAACTTGTTTTAAATGATAATTATCCCACGGTAATAATAACTACATTTATCTAGCATATCTTTTCTTGAGAAAGTTTGAGCATAAGACGAACGCCTCCTCCAGGTGATTGAGAACAAACTAAATAAAATAAACTTGAAGATCGCTTTTGTAGAACCAATTTTATGAACAATACCGAACAGCCACGACAACAATACGAATGCAAGTCGCTCATATACAGAGAAGAAAGAATGGTCAGCAGGAAAACCAAAACCGTCATTTTCTGAAGTTAAAACGAGAACTGAGTTAAACGGTAGTGTAGAGAAGCGTGGAATCTCCGAATACGAAGCCGCGAGTGCATCAATAAGAAACGTCGCAATAACATCACACTGAAAAGCATCAAATGTCGGTTGCTTGGACGTCAATTCGCATTGTACCAAGTAATACTATTGAATTAATAAGTAACTGCTTTAAAATGCATAAAGCAAGGAAAATCAATTCTTTCTGCTGTTTTCCTTGATAGTCTCATGACGGTTTTTTTATCGACTTAAACGGTGTCTAAACATAACAGAAACACGACTTTTAGGCGTTTAATCGATATACAAAACGTGTTTCAAGCATTGATTGAACGTGTTTCTGTTATTTTGTCATCCACACGCATTTGAAGATCGTTTCAATTGATAAAAAAACCTCACGGAAAAAAGTTTAGTTCAAAAAACTGATTTTCGCTTTGTACACGTGATCGGTACAATCTGCCTGTGGTTTTTAACTAACATCAGTACGTTCACCATCAAGTAAATATAAATTAATTGAGTATTCGAAAAACTGGAAACAACCCAGAAATATAAATAAAGCAGTAGCTCAAATTTTTCATTCACAAGTAGTCATTCCAAAAGTAGGAATCTTTATGAATAGTAAATTAATTAAAATTATAAAGAATTTTAAATACCTCGGTTTCACGTCGATAGATAAGCTCTCTCTCTCTCAAGCTCACGGTCAGCAGATTGCTTGACAACATACAAAACTCTTACATAAAACTTCAATGTCTCAAAAGAAATAGAAATGTTTCTACTATGCGGCTTGGTCAAAGGTAACGTTGTGACATTTTTGACACCGTAATTTGATGTTTTCTCGAAACTATAAGAGCTAAAAAGTTCGTGTTTGCGCCATTCAACGCGACTCTTGCTTGCTACTCTACTTTGAGTATAAAAAGGAAGATTTTTGGTTAAAGACTCGAACTTCCACAAAATCTTGTTAGACCGGTAACGCTGTAACATAAAAACACCTTAAATTCTAACTATTCATTAAAGTCAAATTCCTGCGAATTTAGATGTGCTAATAAAAAGTGTCTTGAGCAAAGTTTATAGAAGAGCTACGAGCTTTCTTTTGCTAAAAAAAATTTTTTCAGAACCCTTTACTTTGTTTATAAAACCCAATTTACTAAAGTAACGCTATGACACACTTTCATGTCGCCCCATCTTTAGGCACTAAAGGTTGTTCAAAAAACTTCATACTTATAGTCTGTGTAGTTCTAAGTTTCCTGAAAAGACTCCAGTTTGAAAATGAAGTTCAAAAAATTCTCTGAGGTTTTTAGACCGATGTGAAAGTTGAAACGTTCAAGCAACCACTTATGTCTCGACTGAAAAATAGATCTCAAAAAACAATGAGCCATTTTGTAGAGAATTGAATTTAGTGGTGTCTATTTAGTGGTATGTTTTTAACATTTATTGAGCAAAATATCGAGGTCAGAAAATTGAAATTAAAATGTTTATATTGAAACATAATTTTTCTTCAAATAAAAAATTAGATTCGTGATCAGCAAGAAAAGCTGCATCTAGCAATGTGCCCCAATCGATTTTCCGATGAAAAAAATTCAAAACATACTTGATCAGTGAAGTGTCGCATTACGTGGACAAGTCGTATAGTTCTCCGACTTTGTTTCTTTGGCTAGTTGTTCCCCTTCTTCATCGTAATTTTTTCCTCCTTTCTGTTTCTACTTAATACCCCGATAGACACTATTTTATCGTAAATTTTGTGTTGGTATGAAGATTGTTCATCATTGGCCGTCTATTCATCATTTGTTTGCATATACGAACGAACAAGATCCTGACCATTAGACATCTAACAAAGATGGGAAGTATAAGAAAATGTATTTACAATTTCTTACATTTTACATTCTTTCTCAGCTGACCAGAAGAAAAAAGCGAACGTAAAAAAAAAGGCGTCTCTATTTTTTTTCCCGCTCCATACACTAGTCGACATTCTTGCAAGATTCTTGTCTCTTGCCATTTCAGACAAGAATCCTCAGAATTTTTTCTTGATAGATCAGACAAGTCTTTTAATTTTTTATTTTTCATCTTTTTCGTTAAAGATTTTTGTCTGAAGTGGCAAGATTCGTCTCGCAATTCTTGAATGAACTCACAAGAAAGTGATTTCCTGCACGAATCTTGTCTTGGAATTCTTAAAAAGATCTTGCAAACCGATAGAATGCAGATATAATCCACTTTTCGTCATCTTTCCTTTTCATATATATATATAGGAGGACTTTTTAAAGGCATCTGTGTATAGTATTGAACTATATTATGTAACTGATATATAGCACGGGAATTGACAAAACAAATTGGTGATTTTGGCGTTAACGAATCTTGCCACTTCAGACAAGAATCTTTAACAAAAAAGATAAAAAGTTAAAAGAAGAATCTTGTTTGATGTATTAAGAAAAAATTGAGGATTCTTGTCTGAAATGGCAAGAGACAAGAATCTTGCAAGAATATCCATCCACAAGAATGTCGACTAGTGTATGGAGCGGAAAAAGAAAAATAGAGACGTCTTTTTTTTACGTTCGCTTTTTCTTCTGGTCAGCTGAGAAAGAATGTAAAATGTAAGAAATTGTAAACACATTTTCTTACGTTTCCCATCTTTGTTAGATGTCTGTTATGTAAAAATCTATATACGAAGAAGGGTGATGAACATATACGTATCTCATTTAAGTCAATCTTTGTTTTACAATGATGTACGTTTCTGGGATGACTTCGTATAGAAAAAAATTTCGATGTTCGTCTTTTTTTTCAGATTAAAACGCGTAAATATAAAAAACAAAACATGATTGTCTTTTATTCAACTGATTGTCACTTATCCATAAACTTTAAGTATAAAATGTGTACTGTTCTCTACTGGTAGTGCGACGTTTTATGTATCTTCTCCCTCTCCTAGGCTTCGTGTTATCTTTGTATAATCCAAATAGCTTTCTGTTGTCTTTGTTCTTCTCGTCTAGTTGTTATTACTCTATATAGATTAAAACTATTGAAATATATATAGGCGCATGCAGTTTTGGACGTTTTCTTTTTTGATGTATCATTATGTACTGTATGTTTATCTCTATTTTTTTGCAAGCCCTTACGAATGAGTCAAATAAACGCATAGCCCAAAAACATATAAATTAATGGTGATGAATTGTGATCACAAAAATATAAAATATTTAATTAACTTATCTTAGTAAGAGGCATGTATCAGTTAAAAACCGATATTTTTAGCTTTTTTTTGCAAGTAAATTTTATTAACAGTATGGCCTATTAAATTTTTCTGACAACTGAGTTTTATAGAGCAAACATTTCTCGATAGAATGAGCTATGGAGAACCTATCCATCTTCTCTCTTTTGCTTGCAATCGCCTTTCCACGAAGACCTCCATTTATCGGTTTCGGTTTCTTCATAACCGAAACTGATGCTCTTATGAAATATTTCTTTTTATAAGTATTGGATTGAGAAAAAGATTGCCACTATAGTTAGAAATGTTTCCTCTACAAAACTGAATTGTGAAAAAAATTTAATATGCCATACTCTTCGTAAAATTCGAAAAGAGGATAAAAAACTGATTTTTAACCGCCAGTAATAACTTATACATCTTATCGAATTTGAAACAGAAACTATCGTTTAGTTTTATCTCACTTCTTGTTAACGTACTAAATCTGTTCCTCTGCATAATACACTTTTAACATCAAGTCCACTGGAATGATGTATGAAAACGTTTAAAGATGACGATGAAACTGTAAAAATCAGTTAAAATTGGAAGATCCTTTTCTTAATATACACCGAAAAATTTTAATTTTACTAGAAAATGAAAATTTGTGTTACAGACGAAAAAAATAGATTACATAATAAATTATTGTAGAAAAATAAGACTTTGTACATTGTTTTTGTACACACTTCCCACGATATCGGTTTTCACTTCATTTGGTATGACCAAAAAAATTTGAGTGAACAAATATCTGCAACACTCAGCTGATATAGACCATTATAAGTGACGAGTGAGAGCATCATGAGCATCTTGAACATCATGGCCCACCTGAGCAATAATTTTCTTGATTTCTGCATTAGCTGCCAATTGAGCTTGTTTCAAAGCCAATCTTTAGGAGAAAAAAATGTTGAAATGGGATTACAGAAATAAGTAAAACTTACATTTTCAATTCCATTTCTTCTTCATTTATACGAACGATGCGTTTTCCTGCCGATATTAAAAGTGTATCTTGACAATCATTTAAATATTTCTCTAAATCGAGCAATGATTCACTTTTCATTGTTGAAGAATTTCCAATTTTCAATTTGTACCCATTTTCAATATTATCTTGTTGATGAATGTTTTCAATTGGAGATAATGTTTGAATTTTTGTTGTCTTTTCGATTTCTCCTAAATATTTCTCTAATATTAATTTTGTTTTATGATTAATTTCAGTGTGTATTTGATGTTCAAGAAATTTTTGTAATAATCGTTCGTGTTCAAGATGTGTATCATCGATAATTTTCTGTACAGCCAAACGTGTTCGTTCGTTAATCTCCTCGTTTTTCTCACGTAGAAAACAATCAACATGAATTGAACTTAATCTCGACATTAAATGACTCATTTTAGCAGTTGAATCTCTCGCCACTCTTGATGTATCATCACCAAACGTCGATTGAACGACTAATGACTGAGAATCAGATGTTGATGTAGCAACGACCGGCATTTTTGAACTGAAGAATAAAAAAGTCCGAGTCACAGTGAATCAAATGTGAATCTTCTCAAAAACTTACTTGTAGCCACTAGACACGATACTGAGGAAAAAGTGAAGAGATTTTGTTATTTTACGATGGTGAGTAGCAAATTGTAAAGAAGTTGATGTATGACTACTATCTATTTATACTCGAAGAGGAAAAGCAACTCTATGTACATACGAGACGGCTGTATAGTCCACTTTGTTTGTATGTGTTGCCGTTTTTAGAAATAGTGAACGAGAAAACGATATTGTACATGATCGACTGAATGAATTTCACTTCAACTACATATTTTATGTGACACTGACGAAGAATCTTCGTCTGTTTCTTCTTCGTTCGAACTTGTCTTCAATCGTACATGATACTACGCATTATCTTCTTCAAACACCTACCTCCTTCTTTATCATCATAGAATGAAGACTTCAACACCCTATAAAATCATCGAATTGCTCTTCACGTTCTTTTCATGCTAAATGATGAACATGCCATGAGATGATCATTATGTCAACATAACCTTTGTTTTGCATATAATCTTACAATTATGCATATATTTTTAGATTTTTGCGATCCCTCTGACCACATTTAGCAGACCAAATCAGTCATACACTGAAGTCTTGCACAGATACAAAAATTGCATCCCGTAGATTGAACTGAAATAAAGCAACGCGATTTTCCTTAAAAGTCAGTTTTATAATAAGAAAAAAATGGCCTGATCAGACAGTAGCAATCTCATCATTGACATCAGTTCAATATATGAAATACTAAAGCAAGACACAAGACAATGTTCAAATGATTTGACTGTAATAAATATGATGTCTGTAAGTGGCGAGACAGGTAGTGCTGTGTACAGTAAGATTCCACCATCACACCTGAGAATTCTCTTACAGTACTGCTTAGGAAATTAAGCAGGAAGGCTATCTACTTGAGCAAAAATATCAAAGAACTAAACCATTTAGCTCAAAACCAGACAGATTTTATAGTCTTCCGAAAGTCCACAAATCAGAAGTTCCAATTCGACCTATTATTTCGTGTATTCAGAAAGATTTCTTGAAAACTCTATTATATATCAGATATGTTTCACCTGCCTGTAGTTTTTGAGAAAAAACATGCAAAGTGTAAAAGCATTTTTTGTCTTTACAAACAATGTGGCGATAGATGGAAAAGCAATGTTTCTGTATTTTAGAATGCAACAGGAATGTCACTTAAATTTTATCTTTCTAGCCTTTTTCGGAATCTAAACTACTTCATAAGGTCATTTTTTAAAGGTGACATATTTGTATGACAAATATTATTTAGTATTGATCTGTCTCCAAAAATGTTTTTGTAGTAAAACTTATTATCATTGAAAATTCAAGATTACTGCCAATTACGAATTAACCGTTACAAACAGCTTCAAAAATTGTATGCGGATGCTTTTTCTTGTAGGTCAGATCTGCCTGATTTCTGAAATTTTTTCCAAATAAAATTTACTGTTCGCGTAAAGCAGAGCCCTGCAGGTTGATCCTAACCTAACCTAACCTAACCTAACCTATAGGTTAGGTTAGGATTAGGTTGCAAAAGCTATAGATTAGGTTGCAAAAGTTATAGGCTAGGTTAGGTTATAGGTTGTTCTATTTTTTTTTTCAATGGTTAGGTTAGGATTAGGTTGTCGAATCCATAGGTTAGGTTAGGATTAGGTTGTGAAATTTTTTATAGGTTAGGTTATAGGTTGCCAAATATTGGCAACCTGCAGGGCTCTGGCGTAAAGCATTCTCATATATTATGAAAGGGAAAATACTACTGATATTTCAATCTTTCGAAAGAACAAAGTTCGTATTCTCTACATTTAGCCAATTTTTGTTTACTTTAATCTGTTTTATGTATGACATTACTACAGATCAATCACGAACAAGAAGTAGAGTACTATGGGGGGAAAAGGAGCACCATTGCAACTTTTTGTTATACTTTTATTAGCCTAATAAAAGTATAACAAAAAGTAACCAGAAATGACTGAGAACTGAGTTCTCAGTCATTTCTGGTAGGAAAAACTTGCTGTTAAACGTGATGGTAGAGCGAACATTTGTCTACACGTTGGTGTAAAAACCTTCGAAAAATCTCTGGCCGATTTTCAACCAGATCCAAAATGCGATGAGCCCTATGAAAGCGTAAAATTTTCCCCCACTTGGGGAAAAATGAGTGAGAACTAATAAAAGTATGACAAAAAATTGAAAAAGTGTCTCTTTTTCCTCCGTAGAACTCCATTTTTCGCCTCATCATTTGTAAAGACAAAATTGCTTGTACACTTTATATGTTTATACAATTACAAAACAAGGCAATCATATATAACACAGTTCTACATTACGTTGTATTATAGCTATATAGAACGAACGGAATAGTATTAGAATAGTACCGGAATAGAGGAAGGGCGAAGAACGACTGATCGGAATATATATTGAAAGACTCCCTAAGAGGAAGTTTAATTCAATTCTTTTTGCTAGGTGATGAATATGGAGTTCGACAAAAAAGCGTGCCTGTAATAGTGAACAAACTGAAATATATCATTTTGTATATCATTGTGGGGTGGTAGCGATCTATTCCTATTCTAATGGCGTAGAACCAGTACGATGTATGGGTTCCTTTCTGATACGACACTTACTTTTACCAGTTGAACATTGTACATCTGATTATCTTGGTAGACAAATAAATAAAAATGTATCTTATCCAGCTATGATAGCTTGATAAAATACATTTTTATTTATTTGTTTTATTTATTTATTTGTTAACATGGTGTTCCATAATATTATAAAAATGATGACTTTTTACAATTATCAGTTGAATAATTACGGCTTTATAATCACTATAATTTAACTTTGACACCAATGCAACATCAGTTACAATATTTTAGTCAAAAACAGGTTTAAGATGATAATTTCGTATTAATTTATTTTGCTGGACTGAAACATAACGGATGAGTCGAAAGTTTACGGACAAAATATTTGTTTATTTTTGACCCGCTTGAAAGTATTACAGACGGGTCAAAAACTATGGGTTTGGACCAGAATTTGATGCTCTTTCCGAATATGGGCTCAGAAATCTTTTGTCTAATTTTGCTCCAGAGTAGTGAGGAAATCTTTGACAGGTCTAAAAAATTAGTTTGGAGGGAAATTTTTTCCATGCATTTTCATATTTTCACTACTGGGATCCGAAACTAAAATTTGGAACGTTTATTAATATATCAGCTTGTCAAGCAAAATCTGTCCTACAAAATTTACTATTTGAGTTAGCTTTTGTCTACTAGCAAGGCATCTCAATTTTCGTTTTTCTTACACCCTCATTTTTGAAAAATCGACTTTTTCATCAAAACCGTTTTACATAGAAATAAGCTCCTAGCAAAATGTCTACGGTATTACTTGAATAAATATTTTGTCCGGAAAATTTCGACTCACCCGTTATGATCCGTCTTCTCCTCTTTGATCAACTACTATCCGTCCCAAAATACAAGGCAGGCGGTTACATTTTGAGTAACTTTCAACAGAAGATAGATAGAGATCTGCGGTTTTCACTATCCGATAGTCCAAAGTGTTCTCTGCAAAATGAGAACTAAACAAACTCTTAATTTTTTCCAGTTCAGGCGTGGCATTGGTTTTCCTGAGAGTTCCAGAATCAATATTTCTTTAGGTGTGCAATTCCGAAAATAAATGAAAACATACGTAATTGACCACGCTGAATCTCGTGAGAGTATTTGTTTTTTAAAACACTTGCAAAAATCTAGTAAAAACCTATATTAGATGAAATAGCCCATTTTTGCCTATATTTGAGTAAAATTAAAAGATTCATAACCCAGCCAAGATCCATCCAAATTATGTCAAAATATCAAGATGTACTCTATTTTACCAGCTCTATATGATGCAGCTCAATAAAGGCTATAAAAGCCAACAGAAAATAGTTTGACTTTTGAAAGGGTTTTCTAGAATAACTTCCGAAGTACAGCAATGTTTTTTACTATTGTCAAATAAAAAAAACAACGAGAAAACGATCTTCGGAAATTTTTCCGAAAACCGATTTTGCTTGTGAAGATAAGTGTGTCTAGTTTTTAAAAGTGAAAACCACAGGTCTCTATCATTATTTCATCTCAGTTATTCAAAAAATGGCAACCTGCATTATATTGTGGGATGGATAATAGTTCAAGATAATGTAACTGAAAAATCTGGCGGGGACGCAACGCTCGGGATTGTTTTCTTTAACAACATTTGTTTATTTTAATTTACAATTAAGATCATGAACAGCGAGCTGTTTGATACTGTGTTTTAAATCCGGTTTCTTTTTATATTGATATATACAGGTGGGATAGATGACGTTCTTTCTTCTCTATCGAAAATACAAAACACGACACAAATAATTTGCTATTACTTTCTGAAATATACTATGGATGAATAAAAGAAATGGACACGACTGATGCAATGCATACAGTTTTTCTTTGCAAAATAAATCAAGCATAAGAAGAGAGTGAGTGTGCTTATCATATCGTCCCTCTTTCTTCCTTCATTTTTTTAGACAGACCGTTGTATATTATAGTCTTGTGTATTCGAAGGAGAACAAACAAACGTTATCTCATACACTGCTGCGTACCAGCCACGTTTTGACCTTGAATCAAAGAGATCTGTAATTTTTTTTGCAGACAAGTACTTTGTCGATTATTCTTAGCTTGTCGGAAATTCGGTTCCAGAAGAAAATTTCATACAAACTTATTAGAAAAAGAAGGTGAAAGTTTTAGAGAGACTTTGGGAGATATGATGAGCATACGAGTGTTTCTGATTCCACTGTTCTTACAAATTCCACAGCATATCAACATGAAGAAAAAAAATAAAGTTCATGCAGAGTTGGAGAAGCGAGCTTTTTCGTATTCAGCACACTCATCTGGTTTTGGCGAGAGATATTCTTCAAAAGTTTAGAAAACGTTTTTGAACAAAAGGGCGGAAAAAAGTTTGCACGGGAAAATAATATTATTTTTAAAATATTTCTTGAACTTTCGGCGATACGTCTAGTCACAAAGAAAAAATCATCTGGCTTATCGAATGTGCTGAATAGAATACGGAAAAGCACTTTCCTCGAATCTGCATGAACTTTAGTTTTCTGTCGGTGATATGATCGACAAAACGCATATATGAATTAGAAATAAAAAGCAGCATTTGTGATCGCCAGACGAATTTATCTGAAATTGTGTGTATGATGTTTTTATATCTATTACTGTATCAAATTGTTTAAATTGAATATAACGGAGCTGTGTTTGTTGATATATTTTAGTGCGATGTCTCACAAGTTTAAACTTCTCTACTCCGTTATTTATGACACATTTTCGATACAACTAATCTTTTCGTGTACTATTTAAGACAAAAGCGTTTGTAAAGAAAAACATGAGCCGATAGAAATTTTCTTATTTTCTTCAGCTGTTCTCAATATCCAACCATCTAAACTTGTTGATGATATACGCTGATTTTATTAATAGAAAGCTAACCCTAAATGCGTAGTCATATGAATACGCGTCGCCCAGTAACGTGACTCCTCAAATGAACTATTGGGTATAATCTAACTGTGATATTGAAATGAATGGTCAGTGTAGTAGATGTAGCATAGTTGACACAATCTTTTTGGTATACTAAGATGACTGTTTCTTCAACATTCTATGTCAATAGCGTTAGTGGCAACGTGACAGAACTTGTGCGACACCACACTAAAATATTTTGAACAGAGCTCCTCGATATTTCATTCAGACAATTTGATAACACAAAGCACAGTTTGAACAATGCATGTATTCCCTTTTTTTATCTTGGAACATTGTAAAAGGGAGCAGTTTTTATCTATTCCGGTTTTCACTAAGAATCATAGCATTTCCGAAAAAAGCCTGTTAGCTATCCAAAAAATTAATCGTATTTATTAATTTGATATATTTACGATTCAAAGACTTTTATCATATCGGAGTGTATTAGATCAGATAGATACTTAGCAAAGAGTTTTAAATCTTCTTTTTTATTGGCTAATCGGCTTTGCCCAATAACGAATACTCATTTGCATTGGATCAGAAATGTGATGATTCACTGCGAAAATTCAGAAAGAAAAATTTCGAGAACATCCCTTGATTATAAGAGCCTGTTCTTTTTCACTTTAAAAGCAAAGCCCTGACCTTGCAGAACGTATCGTCTTAAGTACGGGTGGTGATAGACTTGTAAGTCGTACTTCTTCGAGCATCCGTGTCTGGTTTGATTGAACGGTACACTTCGGTTCTCTCGAAGTCAAACTATTGCTGAAAATTTGCGAGTGTGAAGCACGTTTTCTATATCGACTTTGTGTAAACATGCGCCATGCTAAACTTGTGCTCTTTTTTTTTATTTTCAGCGTTTTCTTATTATACAATTAAAAATGTTATGTCTATTAACAAAATTAAATTGTGTTGGTGCTATTACAGCTCGAGGAACACTCATTCGAACAACAACAACACCACTGAAATCATTACGTCTTCCATCAATCCCAAAACGTTATGAATCCATTTCTATCAGTCAGCGTGCATCAAATCGTCAACAACAAGCATTGATCAGAGGTGGTTTGGCTGTGGTAGCCATCGGTGGTGTTGGTTATCTATTAAATAAAGTTTTAAACAGTCCACATGCAGCTATCAATGTACCAGGTGGAGCAACAGCCGTTGGAAGTCGAACACAAACATTTGATGAGGTAGGAAGACCTGAAATAGAACATCCAACATTCTCTAATGTTCTTATTTTATTACACTTCTAGGCTGTTGCAGCAAATCGTCCATTTTCTGAAGCAGTTAAACGCCATCTTCGTTCAACTTACTTACATTTTGCTGGTGGACTAGCAATGACTGGTACATTTGCCTATTACTTACACCGTACAGGTTGGGCAACCAGAATTATGACGATGAATAAATGGACTTATTTGGGAGTTAGTTTTGTTGGAACACTGGGCGCATTGTTTGCTACACAAGCCATTGATGATCGACAACATCCAGTATTGAAATATTCTGCATGGACTGTTTTTAATGGAGCTTTGGCATTGTCGTTGTCACCAGTGTTTTTCAGGTGAGAACAAGAGGGTTGTGAATCATTGTTTCAATTTAATCTTTCTTTTCATCTCATTCTAGTGCTCCAGCATTAGTTAGTCGTGCTGCTTTGTATACAGCCGGTATTGTTGGCTCAATCACTGCCGTCGGTATGACAGCCAGACGTGAACAATATTTGTGGATTGGTGCCCCGTTGATGGCAGGCTTGGTTGTTGTTTGTTTATCATCAATTGGTGCAGTAGCATTACCCATGAGATTTGCATCCATTGCACAAAATATTTCATTGTATGGTGGTTTAGTAGTGTTTAGCGGTCTAGTTCTCTGGGATACACAAAACATTATTAAACATGCTGAAGAAGCTCAAATGGGAATGAGAAAAGAATTGAGTCCGATCAATGAAAGTCTTGGGATTTATTTAGATTCAATTAATTTGTTTGTAAGAATATTGGCATTGATGGATAGAAAGAAAAAGTAAGAATATGAACAGAATTTTTGGCGTGATTTTAATGTTATTGTAATTATATTTTTTTATTGTAAATAATAAACAAGATAGTCAAGCAATATGAAATGCTATGTAAAACTTTGTTATCAGGATTTAGCTAAATATTGCCCTAAATTGGTGTGTATATTAACAAGACGAAAGGAGCGACAGTAGTGATGAACAAGTTTTTCGATTAAATAATAACCGATTCACAATGATGCTTACGAGGAAACCTATGGAGATGAAGCGCTCCGATTTCGTTCGTTCTTGCGTGGATCGATAGGGCATGTGGAGTAGGTAAAAAGCCTAAGAGGGTTCGGGCGGAGACTTTTCCCTTGGAGAGTTATGGGCATTTTACGCATTTTCTCACGTCAGCGGAAAACAGACAAAATTAAAAAAATCACAACTCTGTCCAGGAAAGTCGTAGAGGATTGAAAGTTTTTTTGGTGGCGAGGATAAAGGTTGTCTTCATATCCTGCAAGTTTCAGAGTTCTATCACTTTCTCTCATTCAGAGGCAGAACTTTCCATAAAGGCAAGGAAACGCCATGAGAACACTGCTTCGTCTGTCTTACACTTT